TCTCCTCTCCTCTCCTCTCCTCTCCTCTCCTCTTCATAGCCAGCATTCATGTAGCACTTAAAATATTCATCACTATGTTTTCAGATAAACCTGCAATCTTCAATCAGTATATTATTCAATGAAAGTTTAATGGTATATAAATAGAAGGATTATATACTGAATAACATTATATTTAAAATACTGTTTCTTCCATAAACTGAATGATAGCTTTTTAATAATAAAATTATTCCCACATTCCTTCAGTACCTTCAAAAAGTCCCATTGTATAATAGCCACATTCAAAATAGATGTATAAGTTTAGATTTTAGCAACATGAATATTTATTTTAAATTATTTCTTCATACAATGCATAATTGAGTACTGACCTCTCTTCTGTACATTGTGGCAATGACCATTAACTTGAGTGGCTTTTAAAGAATCTTACACAAATTCAGAGATAATAAGGTTGTCAGGTGCCCCCAACTGGGATGTTTTGAATTCTCTATAATATTGGGAATAATTCCAGAAAGTATAAATAAAAAGTATCACAACTTATTAAAGTTTATGCTGACAGTAGCAAGAATGAACCTAGCACAACACTGGAAAAGTAACTCTGCCAATGATATAAGATTGGGGCACCAAAATTGGTGAAGGAGGCAGCAGTAGCAAAACCAACAATATATATTCATAATAAAAATTTAACCAAATGTAAACAGGAAAGGCTCCCTTGTATGCAGTGCATTACACAACAAGGCATATGTCAGGTCTGTCATATTCAGACATTTGAAATACGGCTTTTAGAAAAAGAGACAAGTGACTAATTAAAAACAGCAAATGAAATTACAAAACAGAGATAAGCAAAAATCTCCAAAGTTTAATATTAAGTAATAAAAGCATAGCATAAATATTGAAGTTATGGGTAATGGTTGGGGAAAAGAAGGGAAGGGAAGGGATAATATGTCACCAAAATTCCCCTTCACAATGTTTTACTGATGATCTATTTTTCATTTTGCCTTTTGTATCTTTATGCTTTACTCTTTGTACTCTTTAAGCTTATGCAATGTAATAAAAAACATTGGAAGTAGTTATGTGTTAATCAGCAAGTGCCTATCTTAGATTGCAAATGAATTCATGGGCCAGTTTTAGTTTTGAAACATTCTGTGTTAAGTCCTATAACCTTATCCAGGTTTTCAATTTAAATACATATTCTGTCACAAGTTTTAGAGCCAATGTACACTTTACTTTTTCCAAAGATTGCACATTTGTTTTTTTAATGTTTCAGGTAACACCTGAAATGAAGACTTGGGACCATGAATTCAGTGGCTAGAAAATGATTCCTCTTGTGCTTATTTCTAATTAATGAATACATCTCTGCAGTCTTCTGGGAGTACCCCAGATATGACTAATTATTTACATGGGCAGATAGATTGCAGTAGCAGAAGCTCTTGATATATTGATTTTTTATGTGATTAATGTACCACCTGAAATCTAACAGACTCTAGGTGGCTTACAGAATTTGCAATATAAACATACCGCAAAGTTAATATTAAAACTAATTAAATAATAAAATTCATAATCTAATTCTCCAAATTAAAGTACTAACATAATAGCTACAAATTAATTTGACATTTGGTATGGCACCACTGGTTATAATTAATCCCCCAAAGCCTTCTGGAAGAGCCATGTTGTCACCTGCTTTTGAAAAACCATAAAGGTGGGGGCGTCAGGAGGCAAGCTATTCCAAAGGAGGGGAAGTGTTGCAGAGGACATCCCTTGTCAGGTCACCTGCCTATGTATCTCCTGATACATAGGGATCCTTAGGCAGTCCCTAGTTCAGATGAGACAGGCAGAAACTGTATGGGAAAAGTGGCTTCTAATGTATGGTCTGGAGCCATATACAGCTTTATAGGTAGGACTAGCTCCTTGAACTGCATTCAGAAACCTACTGGTAACCAGTACAGCTCCCAGGTATAATATGCCAGTATTGCAACTGGCTACTGGGTATATGTCCTGCTGCATTCTTGACCAGCTGAAGTTTCTGGCTGGTCTTCAAGGGCTGCCTCGTATAGAATGAATTACAGTAACCTAATTTAGAGAAGACAGGGACATGAGCAACTGTCTTCAATGCAGAGAGGAGCACAACCCCATCAAGAATCAAAGATGGAGCAGTTGGCCTCTGGATCAACAGCCATTCCATCTTGTTTGGGTTAAGTCTGAGCCTGTTTTTCCCCATCCAGACCCTGAAAGCCTCCAGACACCGGGTCATGTCTTCCACAGGATCTCCCAATGGGCCTGGAGTGGAGATATATATCAAGAGGATAGGACAAATTGTAAGTCACAGACCAAGAGGTGGAAGTCAAAGAGGGGTGTGTTAATCAGAGTTCAAGGCAAATACCTTGGCAAAGTGACAGCAGAAAAATAGCTCTACAAAGATTAGCCCAAACAGTAGACTGCTGAGTTATCTTGCAGACATCCCTGACCAAGTAGATATACAAGAGATTCTTCAGTGGTCACAAATAACCTATCTACAGCTCAGTGATTGGGCATAAGCGGCACGACCTCAAAAAATGCAATGCTTTTTCTTATTTCATCTTTGTAATAATTTTTTTGAAGCAAAGCATCCAGACAGGTGTCTTTTCCCTTCTCTAGCAATCTCCTGCCATCTCTTCCATTGTTTTTTTTTCCATTTAAAAAATAAATAAAAAGCTATTAAAAGCTCTGCTCTTTTATGCAACAAAGCTATCATTGCCTTGTCAATTATGGGAGACAGGACATTGCATTATGGCAATTGGATTGGAGCTCGGTACAAGTAGGAATGGTGTAAAATGCAAGGATTCTATTAGTTGAAAATATGCATAAAGTTGCTAGATTATAGTGCCCTCTAGTGCTTAATAGATTCAAATATTTTTAAGACTAAGTGATGATTTTGAATGTAACTTTTAAGAGGAAGTGTTTGCTACTTGCATGTTATGTTTTTTCTTTTTTCAGGTTTACAGATTTGTTTATAGTCATTTTATTTTTTTTCTTTATTCTCCAATCTGTAGATAGAGAATCAATATTTTTCAACAGCCACAATGTATCAAAACCAGAATCCTCTTCCATCCTAACAGCAGTAAGTATTCCAGACTCCTTTCTGAAAACAGTGATTCTAATAACAGACTCTTCTCAATTTGACACTGTTCTTCTCAGGTTTATTTTAGGAATTGTTACAGGAAAGCAGCAGCTCAGAATCATTCCGGACTTTTCAAGAACATCTCTGAAAATGTTTTTCTTTCCTTGAAACATAGGAGCTGTAATTGTGTGAGATGGGCGGCTATATAAATATAATAAATAAATAAATAATACAGATAATCCTCAGGTAATGACCCTTCATTCAGTGGCCAATAGAAGTTATGACAGCGCTGAATGAATGGTACTTACGCCTAGTCCCCAAAGTTATAGCCGTTGCAGTGACATTTGATCAAAATTCAGGTGTTTGGCAGCCTGCCCACACTTATGACTGCAAGGGTGCTTCAACTCCTCCCATCCACCTATCTCCCCCCCATCTCTGCCCTTTTGGCTGCCCTGCACTCCGCCAGCCCTGCAACCCCAGCTGACCTTTAGCCTTCTTCCTGAGGCTGCATGTGACCTTGTGAGGCTTTGGAAGGCTTCTGAGACCTGAAATCTCATGAGAAGACCGTGCCTGCCCTTCTCCAAGTTGGGACTTCAACTGGTACACAAGTGCGGCCTTCTTGCAAGTTTTTACAAGGCCTCAGAACCCTTCCGAAGCCTTGTGACAAGGCCAAGTGCAATTTGGGGAAGGGCGCACATGGCTTGGGAAGAAGGTCTCATGCAGTCAGCAGGTGTCTCGCATAGGGCCAGGCTGGGTGCCTCTTGTTAGTAGTGGGAGGAAGAAGATGATGGTCAGCTGGGAGTGGCAGGGCCGGGAGAGCACAGGGCGGCAGGGGCAGCGGTGGCCGGCTGAGACTGTTGAAGGCACTGAGCCTCTACTTCAACCCCGGCGCTGCTGATGCTGCCACCACCACCAAGGAGTGCCACTGTGCAGGGTAGCCAAAAGGGCAGAGATGGGGGGAGATAGGCAGGTGGAGGGAGTTCAAGAGGAGGCAGTCTTACCGAGGCTTGGGGCTGGGAGGGTCCAAGCCAGGGATGGCTTGCATTGGGGTGGGTCCTCACCTAATGCCCGGGCAGGATTTGGTTAATGACAGCAACCAGGACTGCTGGGATTGCTATCACTAAGCAATGCGGTCACGTGACGTCATGCTTTACAACTTCATTGCTTAGCAATGGAAATTCCAGTCCCAATTACCGTTTTTAACCGAGGACTACCTATCCAAGGTTAGATTATTAAATATTTGATTAGTAGGATCTCATGTACCCAATACTTAGTTTTAAAAATAAAAATGTCAGTTCTGCATGTTTAGTGCATGTAGTTTCTTCTTAAGAGCTTGAAAATTCAATGATTCCCATTAACATTTTAGGGAATCAAATATTTATTCATAAATTGGACCATAGATGTTGTTATATTAACTGTATAGTTTTGTGGTTCACCTTAGCTGCAGTCTCTTTTGCCACAAAATTAATCATCTTATTTATAAACCTGCAAAAAAGGAGAGGGCTTCAACTGGTACACAAGTCTCTGAGACATACGTAAAGGAAGATTTGTGTACCAGTTGAAGTCCTCTCCTTTTTTGCATCCTCTAGAGAAATGACAGACAACCATTCCATTGCAGTTATTGATCACCTTGTTTGGGAACATCCACAGCATCACAGAAAGGCCAAGATAAAGAATGCACTAGGTTCTGCATTGCTGTTCCTTTTTCTACCTATCATATGTTGATTTTGGAACAATCTTTTTAGCTTGTTGCATAGCCCATTCTCTTTATTTATTTTTAATTTTATAAATGAAATTACAAATTAAGATAAAATACAATGATAATACAATAAAAAAGAATAATGATAATAAATTGAAAGGAAAAGCGCATCCACATCTGAGGCTCCTTCTATTTATGAACTACAGGGAAAAAACAAAGCCATTTATTTGTGCAGTTTTCTGTCATGTGTGTGGGAGTGGAGATTTTGTCTCAAGTTCTGATACAAGAAAATTGAAGTCTCGGGTGATGTTGACATTTTGCCCCCAAAGTTATGGGACTTTGTCATTCTTGCAAGATTTCAGAGATTTAAAAAAACTGATATATAGCATCAGCAGATGCTGTCAAATTGTTTCACATTTGGAGGAAATGCGAGGACCCCTGCTTTTTCTTTAGGGAATTTCTACAACTTCATTCATTCTGTCTCTCTTTTGCAGCTTGATAAAATAGAAGGGGTGTTTGAGAGACCAAATGACGATGTCATCCGAGCAATCTCAAAGACACTAAGGCAGACCTTGGGGATTTCTCTCTTTGGCATTGACATTATCATTAATAATCAGACTGGTCAGCATGCAGTTATTGATATCAATGCATTTCCAGGTGAGAGAAAGCTGGTATAAAATACATAAAACAAAAAATATCATACTTTGAAGTTAATATTCATTTAAAGCAAAAGTGCAAAACATTGTTTCAAACAAATTCCCACAGTTGTCCTTTGAATGGTATACCAGGAATTCAACCCCCAAAAATTAATTGAGCCAAGACAAAGAAGTAGTCAAGTCCAGGATAAAAACTAAAATTGCATAGATTTCATTTAGATTTAACTGAAATCAAATCAAATTAAATACAGATAATAGGATTCCACTCATATATTTCTACTCTTGTAATGAAAATTACAGTTTGACAGCAATTTTTGAGATACTCTGGAGGCTCCAAAATGTGGCCTCCCCTTTTAAAATTTTAAGATGTGCCCACCCCCAAACCAAGACATACATGAAGAAAGTAGCAGAGCCACATTGTTAGATCTAGGCCCAGCATCAAAAGTTCTATCAGTGTTTTATCCTTATTTCACCAAGTTCAGTAGCAGGCAGGTATTCTACATGAGTAAGATCCTCCATACAGTTAGAAACTCAAATTATGTAAAGCGCCTCTTAGGAAACTAAATACATGACACTGTATACACCAGACTGCATCTTAGATCAGGAATAGGCAGATTGTGTTCTTCAGAAGTTTTGGACTGCAACTCTGTGATCCCTTGCTATTGGTCATGCTGAGTGAGGCTGACATTGGGAAGCTCACAAGGTAATAGGGACTTGGCGGTACACATGTTCAGTTGTAGCATGTTCTTGCAAATTAGGTAACTTTCCCCAACCTGGGTACCTAGCAGTGGTGTGGATCACAACTTTCATAATGCCCCACTAGCATGGTGGTCACTAAGGACACCTATGTCCATGTATCTGGAGCACACTTCAGGTGTGGAAGGTTAGCATAAAGTGTACTTATGAATGAAACTGTGGATTAATGCAGAAAGCAGGCTTTGGTTTTATTCACTGCATCAGTATCTTCTTGTCTTCAGTCCTGTAGCTGATTTCACTAGTGATCTAATTAACAACAGCCTTTCTCCTCCTTTCAGCTGACTGGCTGCCTCTAGATGTTATCAATCACCATCCAATAAGACCCATTTAGTTTTTCTACAGTAGCAATGAGTATTTCCAGCCATTTGGGCACTCCCAGATCAAGAACCTTCCCATCAGTCAAAAAGCAACTTTACTTTTCTGTAGACTTCATTTGGTCTACAAATAAGCTGGTGTTCTAAGAAATGCAAGCAGCAAAGCTAGTCATACCAAACCATGAACAGAAGCAATAGAAGTGCTAGATTTTTAAAAATGTATCTTTTTAAAAAGTCTGAAGTTCAAGAACATTCCAGAAGAGCTCTGCTGTTATCCATACAAGATATGAAAATGAATGTTATGTTCCTGAGATGTATTTCACAAAAAGCAAACCCAACCTATCCCCCCCAAATCAGTGTAATTTGAAGTTTATGTTAGTGCCAGTAGTCAGGATTCATTAGAAATATTATTTGGTCTTGGGCTTCCAAACTGTTCCTTCCTATTCTCATTGAGAATTCCCTAAAAATTCTGCAGAGCAAATTCATTCTAATTTATTCTCTCTTCAGAAAATTAAATTAATGTGTCTAATACTGTCACTTGCCTTGCTTTTAAAAAGGAATGGGGAATGATTGAGGTTCTGAAACCATTAAAGTCTAGAGCTGATTTTATACTAAATCAAGCTTTTTACTTTGGCTATCAGCCAAGGAGTTTTCTCCTGCCATGTTACTGATGATCCTTTTACTTGTGAAAATTATAGGTTTCAACCTGGTGGCCTCTTGAATACAAAACAAGTGTTTCTGTCCCAAAGCTAAGTGGTCCTTCCAGTGAAGCTCACTTCATAGGGCATTTAAAATGGCTTCAAATGAGTTGCAACATCCCAGTAGATCCCGAACAATTGCATCACGCTGTATGGGCACCGTGCTCACGCACACCTTTTACAACAGCAGGCATATTTCTGACAATATTTCTTATTGTGACGCAATAAGGTTTTCCTTATATTAAATGATTTTACAAGAAACACTACTCTAAGACAGATTTCATTTTACATACAATGTACTATTCATAGTGGAGCTGTTCCTGGGAGCAAGAGGTGGAATGGGACAATGTATGCTAAGTTGAAGGGCAGCATAAGTCTTTGATTAAACATGGAAAGTTAGTTCTCTGAATGAAACTCTTTAACCTAACAAAACAAAAATTTCAGGATATGTCTCCTGTGTTTAGATTAACATTTCTTGCCATCGTATCTAAAAATGTCCAGGTTTCCCTCCTTCATAGTATGTTTATCCTACTCTGTCAAGAGGATTTATCATTTCGCTGGGGAAAAAAAAAGAATATCTCTTAAAAGTATTGCAGGAACTTGGTGGTATGTTTTATATCACTATATTGTAGCATCACCTTTGGAGAAGCAAGGTGTTTTATTCCCCAGTGATCTTTCCATCTGGACTGAGTCCTATGCCTATCTTTGTAGCAGCCAAGCACCAGTTAATATCAGTGGCATTGATTAACCATCAGAGAAAGGAAATGGTCTCTTAGGTCTTCCTTTCTTCAGAGATGCCTGCAAAACTTCTGTACTTTTTAAAAAGAGCACTTAACAGTTTTTGGGGACAGAGAAATAAAATATGGGGATAAGTGTTGTGCTAGGTTGATGGACAAGTGTGGAGGAATGATCACAAAGTACTGGACCAGTGAATACTGGTGTGGGATGGAGGGATCCTTGAACTCCATTCACAGTCACAGTCTTGCCCTCCCATGCGAAAACCTCTCTGAATAAAGAAATAATGAAACAAACACTCAGGATAGTTTTTTAAGAAAGAAAGAATAGTGATATTTTCCAGGGTAGAGTATACAATTTAACTAAATATCTCTGCGGATGGCGTGCCATCTTCTTGAACCAGAATGTATTGGGTGCGGGGGAGAACCTTCACAAGAAAATGGTCATAACTAATGTTTTATCTCCTGACTTCATTACTTTCAGGATATGAAGGTGTCTCAGAGTTTTTCACCGACCTCCTGAATCATATAGCCACCACCCTGCAGGAGCAAGCTCCAGAGTTGTCCCAGCTAAACCATAACAAACTCCTGGCTGAACAGAGCAGCAGCCTCGTGGGGGAGCGGACATGCTGTGCTAACACTGGCTGCCGGAGTATGGCAAGCAAAGACCCCTGGATTGTGGAGAATGAGACCAGTGGCTCAGTAAAGCTGCAGCACCAGAGGCTGGGCTGTAACTCATCAATGTCTCCTAGCTTTCAGCAGCATTGTGTGGCCACATTGGCCACAAAAGCTTCTTCTCAATGATCCCTATCAGTGCCACAGACTGAGAAAGAAGGCAGTAGGCCCCAGAGCTATTGATTCAATGTAATTTTTTGAAAGAAAGTGAAATTAGTGATATGGGTCCACTTTAACAGATTCCTCTTGTAGTTCTGTAGTGAGTTTATCCATCCATGTATGGGTGCCTGTTGTGTGCATGTATCTTAAACACTATATCTTAATGTGGGAGGATGGGTTTGTGTTTTTCCCACACCTTTTCCTTTTCTTTGTAATCATTGACCAGAGTTGTATGATGAACCTTACAGAATGGATAATGATTTGTGTTGAAAATTTGCACACTTGAATTCAATCACCCTTCATATCTCTTTTCCAGCCCATTCCAAAGAGTAAAACACACATTTATTGTATACCTAAATCCAGAGGAAACCTGCATACCCAGGATCAGCATTTAATTTCTGTTTGGAAAACTCTGATATTAGAATCAGCTTCAAACAGTGTCCCATTTCCTAAAAGAAGAATAAATGATTGAGTATTTATTTGCCATTGTGAAAAAATATAGTCCTTTACAATCACATTTATTATTAAAGTAGTTAGGTTGATGTAACACTGCCATTTATCTTATTTGGGGCAGAGGACTTCATAATCATTGGTTGATTGCCATATCTAGCATAAGAACAAGCTAGGGAGTTTGGTTTTTCCTTTTTCTGCTGCTTTGCTGATCCTGAGACTACAGGATATCTCTTTCACATATATATTAAGCGATAGCATGGTTTATTTTTAGCTTTGTATGATGCACAAATCCATCCACTGTGGTTTATAAATCATGGTTTCTTTGTTGAGGTGGGTTTGTACATCATATTAAACAAGAAAATCAGATTGTGGGTTAACATTACGTGTGTTCTAGGGGCCTGTTTGTAAGCACTACTCTGCACAGATAATTTTGCTTAGTGGCGGGCAGAACTTTGTAAAAGAGTAAATCTGTGGCAACTTTTCTCCATTCCTGCTCTATCATTCTTTGGGAGTAAGCCTCTGAGATGTGGTATATAAGGGCAGTGTTTATTTAACCTGTAGTTCAGTCTGGTTATATGTTAAAAACAAGTAACAGAACAAAAGTGCATCTTTAACTCTGTTTCTTTCAACACAACATCATCTTTGTGCAGCTTTGAACTGGTCATGAATTTGAAAAGGTACTATTAGTGAGTTTGGGACTCTTTTAATTTGGGACAATCCTTAAATTGTCTCAGGAAATGTTAAAATATTTTACACATTTAGATACCTTTGGAAAGATTGATCATCATGGATCAGGGATCTGTGGAGTAATTCACACGCAGGTAGTAGTGTGAATGTATACTACATACATACTACAAGTTGTACACATGAATCCCTTCCAACTTTGAAAGGATAATATATTGATATTATTTGCATACAGGCAACATTACATGGTTTTTGGTAGGGTTTTTTTTTTTTAGATTAAAAAAAGTTTGAATCCTCAGATTCTTTCAGTTCCTGTAAAGATGACCCATTTCTTATATATATGAACTGGTATTAATGTATTATCCTCCATTGATGGCAGCTTTTTATTTGTTTGTTTCTTTGTTTTTAGAGTAAGGGAAAAATGGAAATATCTGATGAAATATGAAAGACAGGGAGATAAAAAAGGGAGGACCAGAAATGATTCCAAGCTATAGGGAGTGCAGGAAACTATTCAAAAATTAGTAGGGAGGAGAATTGCTATGTTTCCTGTATGGTTTTATTTCCAAACTTCTTCACAATTCTGCAGTAGGTATTGGATATAAATAGCTGAGGAGAAGACTATATTTGTAGAGGGGTTTCCGATATGAGACTATCAGACATGCATTTTGTTTATTTCTGTATCAAATTTGGGTCATGTGGTGATCCTGAATTATTGTCTTTCTCCATAATAACATTTCCCAGTAAAATATTGATATTTGCCCATGCCTTTAGTGGGAATGAAAAGTAGGTCAGACATATATTTGTACATTTTTTTTTCAATCAGCAAGACTATTATAAGTTTTTGATGTAAAAAAATATTGTTCAAATTTTAACATTATACACACACACACACACACACACACACAC